AGGAGATAGGTTTTCCTTGAAAATTGTGGGCATTTCCATTATTCGTAATCTTGAGAAGAGCTCAACCATAGAAACGATTTGAGGACTAGGACAAGCCTTAGACCAGAATGGGAGAATAAGCTCTTCCTCTCTCAGGGCCTCCTGGATAGGGCTAGGACTCTGGATAGAAGGCATATCTTCTGTGGGGAGGTGAGTTAGTCTAAGGGAGGAAGTTGCAGGCTGGGATTCCCTGAAGATGATCTAGTTCTAAGTCAGAAACAGACAAGCAAAGGGGAGCCTGCTCCTGACTAGCGTTGGGTCTGACAAGGAAGCCATGAAACCCTGACAACCCATGAGACAACCTCTCTCTCTCTGTCATACACACGCGCACGCGTGCACGCACACGTGCACACACACACACACACACGGTGCAAACGTCAGCATTCTGGGGAGCTCTCAGGTCCTTTGAGAGAGCTTAATTTCTGGCAATTGATGGGGCTCAAGCCCTCACACTTTGAATAATTTAAGGGAAGTATTACTTGGCATTTGGGTGAGAGGTGGCAGGCCAGTGCTAACCATACCTGGGAAGGAGGTGATGTTTGTCTTTGACTCCTTTTCATTAATCAATTCCCTTCATTGGTTCCGGGTCCCCTTCTTTGAGGGTACCATCTTCCCGCGAGACTCCTCTCACAGGGCAGGGGGCTGTTCCATCTCCTCACTGGCTCCACCCCTCCAGGCCTTCCAGTGTGACTGCCACCAGGTCCTTTGCCCTCCTTGACCCTTTCCTGCCCCAGATCTGGCCAACTCTCTGCCTTCCGCATGCACACTGCCTCCTCTGACACACTTCTGGGGCTGATAAGGGAGATACAGAGCAGGAAATGGGAGCTTAAGCTACTTGCCCAAGGCCACAAGGCTAGTAAGTGGTGGAGCTGGGATTTTAACCCATGCAGTCTAACGCCAGGCTCTGCCCTAAACCCTCCAGACTTCAGAGGTCATCCTTCCTTTAACAAACAGATAAAATGACTGAAGTCCTCCTCCCACATCCTATGGGAAGTCCAGCAGTGTGCCCAAAATTCCCGAGGATTCCTGGGTGGTAGGGGTTGAGTTATATTCTCCTGGTTATTCCCACTTAAATTCATGGTCCCTTCAAGTCCTCTTGCCTCCAGCATCTGCTGTCCTCTGTCCCCTTCCCTCACTCAGTGCAAGAGCACTGTCTCTCCCCCTTATTCTCCAAAGCACACCTAAGCCAAACCAGCGCGTTAAACCTGTTCTGAAGGATTGGAGATATTTGGTGATAACAGAGGGTCACCATGCCATGGCAGCTCAGCAAAGACCTGCAAATCCAAAATGGGGTGTGACAATTCTGCAGGCTCACCCCTACATTTACAGGGATGGGGCAGGAGTACACATGGAGGTCTCACTCTCACTCGCTCTCCCATGCTCTTCCTGACACCAGCTCCAGCCTGCACATGAGGGACCCCAGGTGAGAACACCCCGGCGCATGTTTAAACTCTGTAGCAGCCTCTTTGGGAAGAGGCCTGCATAGGATCGGGGAATTCCACGGTCCTGAGGGAGGGGAGAAGCCCAGTGTGCACACACCCGTTGGCCCCATGCGGCGCTGTGCTGGCTCCTGAGAGCCAAATCACCTCTCTCGAGCTCCACTTTCAGTGCATCACACCGGTAGCTTGAAGTTAGCTATGGTGTGGCGGGGATATTTACACGGTGCAGACTGGCAAACATTTCAATCTACAAATCAGGGTTTTTTTCCCCTAGAGAGCCTGTTTAACAGTACACCACTGGCCCATGGACACCTCACCCCGTGCACAGGGGCACAGCCAGAAAAAGGCCAGAATGGAGCCCTCTAAGGCAGTGGTTCTCAGATTTTGCTACATTAGAACAACCTGAGAGCTCTGGTGGTGGGCTGTCAGTATTTTAAAAGTTTCCTAGGTAATTCCAATGCACAGCCAAAGTTGCAGGCCAGTGCTCTAAAACATCTCTTATCAAAATCTAGTGTACAGGGCCGGCCCTGTGGCTTGGTGGTTAAGTGCGCGCGCTGCAATGCTGGTGGCCCGGGTTCGGATCCCGGGTGCGCATCGAGGCACCACTTCTCCGTCCATCCTGAGGCCGAGTCCCACATACAGCAACTAGAAGGATGTGCAGCTATGACATACAACTATCTACTGGGGCTTTGGAGGGAAAAAAATAAAATAAATAAAATCTTAAAAAAAAAAAAAAATCTAGTGTACATATAAATTGCCTGAGGATCATTTAAATGAGAGATTTGGTTCAGTAAGTCCGGACGAGGCCTGGGATTCTGCATTTCTAACAAGCTCTCGGGTGCTACTGTTGCTGTTATTCTGTGGACCACAGTTTGAGTAGCCAGCATCTAAAGCACAGGAGCTTTGCTGCTCTGAGGCCCTCGGCTTTGCCTGTCAAGGAGAATTTCTTACTGGAATTGCCTTTCTCCTTAAGCCCTGACCTCAGCCATTTTTTGGAGCCTATTTGGACCCCTTTCACCCTATTCCGGGTAACAGGACACCAGTCTCCCTTGATGCCTGGAGAAAATCCCCAAATTCCTGCCATCTCATTATGCAGATCACTTCGGTTCTCCTTCCAGACTACGCTGGGAGGCTCGCCTTTCATAACCAAACAGGTGTTTTCCTAAACAAGCCTTTTTTTTTTTTTTTTCCTGTGAGGAAGATCAGCCCTGCGCTAACATCTGACGCCAATCCTCCTCTTTTTGCTGAGGAAGACTGGCCCTGGGCTAACATCCATGCCCATCTTCCTCCACTTTATATGGGATGCCGCCACAGCATGGCCGGACAAGCGGTGCGTCGGTGCGCGCATGGGATCCGGGCCTGCAAACCCCAGGCCGCCGCAGCAGCACGAACGCACCAAACCGTCTGCGCCCCTGGGACAGCCCTAGACAAGCCATTTTGCTTCTGCTTCACTTGCCCACCATGCTACACCTTTAGAATTCAGACACACACCTACACTGATTTATTTTTTGTATCACTTGTTTTCCTTTCCTGTTACACGCGCAAAGACTGAGACTTAGTGATAAGGGCCCTGACGCGGGTGTGAACACCCTGCACAGAGCAGGCCATGCGGGATGGGAACAAAGCGGGTCGCGCAGAAGAGAGGCTGGACCAAGGAGCCCGAAGGTGAATCCCTTAGCCCCACAGGCTGCTGTCCCCAGACCCTTAGCGAACAGAAACGCAGGACTTGTCTCAGAACTAAAATGATGGCAAGTTTTTTCGTAGTTTCTTGTGTAAAAGTGTAACTAGAGACTAATCAGACTACACCTAATTCTTCCTACAGAGCATGGGTCCAGTCACTTTAACAAGTCTTTTGTTGCTTAAAGTCTTGATTAAAGAAACCTCCTCTGTGTTTCTATAGATGGATCTCTGGACAAGGTGACCCTATCTGAGTATCAGAATCAAGGTTCTGGTACCCACAGTGACCTTACTGAGGCCGGCAGCACTTTCCAAGATCCTGCTGCAGTGCCGGGTGGTTCTGTCTGAGCAAGTCCACATTCCAAGGCCTGTCCTTGCTCCGCCTCGCTCAGGGCTGAGCTGCCCCAGAGCGACTTGTTTGGGGCTGTTCCTCATAGTGATGGGAAGTTAGATATAATCTAAGCTGCCCTGATGTCCCCTACTCCCTGAAACCCACAGAGTTCTGTTTCACAGGCTGTGCATTTTGCCAAAACTTATCTCTGAGAGGGCGAGTCTCGGTTTTCCGCCTGTTGGAACGTTCACTAAGCAGGGCCTTCCTGCGGCATATGACGCTGGGGCTTCACTCTTGTTCTTCCTACTTGCTCAGGGGGCCGCTATCACAGCTCCATTGCACATAACAGAATTTAGCTGAAGGTTTAGAGACAGTGGAGGGGAATTACTGCCCAGGGCAGACCAAGTAAGATTATTAGAGCAATTTAGAACCAACTATGAGGCTAGAATGCTTCATTGGCCATCTTTGCCTTGGCGAATATCTCATTGGTCATCTTTTACTTTAGGATCCGCTGACCTCGGCCGTGTGGAGCAGGGTCCCCTCTCCCCAGAGACTTCTTCTCGCCCTCCTTTCAGGGCCCTAGACCACTGTCTCAGCCCACTCAGGGAAGACAATATTCTTGCAATTATATCAGGCAGTACCATCTAGTTCCTTTCTTGGTGGTAACTTTCTCCTTCCTGACCGTTAAAAGGAATCTCACCTTTCACAGTCAACCACATCCCATCAAGGTCATTCCATAAACAACCATCTACCACTGACATCAATACTGGTCCCTAAACACCAAAAGTGATCATTTTATCTTTTTGCAATGATTTTTTTTTCTGTTACATAAGAAATTTTAGGACTATTAAAAACAAATTAGGAAACTGGCAATTCCTCAAAAAGAAACATATACCCAAAAGAATTGAATGCAGGGACTTGAACAGATATTTGCACATGCATGTTCATTGCAGCACCATTCACAGTAGTCAAAAGGTGAAAATAATCCAAATATCCATCAACGGATGAATGGATAAACAAAATGTGGTATATCCATAAAATGGAATATTTTCCAGCCTTGAAAAGGAATGAAGTACTGATACATGTTACAACATGGATGAACCTTGAAAACATTATGCTAAGTGAAATAAGCCAGACAAAATTCAGAGAAAAAGTAGAATAGAGGTTACCAGGGGCTGGGAGAGGGGAGAATGGGGAGCTATTGTTTAATGGGTGTAGAGTTTCTGTCTGGGATGATGAAAAAATTCTGGAAATTGATAGTGGTGACGGTTGCACAATGTTGTGGATGTACTTAATGCCAATGAATTGTACACTTGGAAATGGTTAAAATGGTAAATTTTATGTTATGCATATTTTACCACAATAAAAAAAAACAAATTAGGAGTCTTGGCTCTTTTATCTTCTACAACTTCAGGCAAGAACCTCCTCCCTACAAGTCCCTGGAGAGCTCTAGAGGCGACAGGTGGGGCTGAGGGCAAGGTCAGCTGGTTGTTGCCGCACAGCTGTGCCTGTGAAGCAGGAGGACTGTTTCTCAGATTCTGCTTCTCTTTGGGACTTGGCATCAACGCTTGGCTCCAAGGTAAACCTTCCTTCTCAAGATCCCAAATGTTTTGCTGTTTTCAGTTTTCGCCTGTCTTTTGATTGGGTTGAAGCCAGCTCCCTCCCTGGGATTCATATTCACAACAAGCAGCGAGCGATTAATTTAGCCAGTTGAAATTTATTGTGCACTCGCCTTAACTCAGAGCCGGCTTCTGCTGGGTGTTTATTTCTCACCGTTGATGCATTGCACATGACAGCCCCTAAGCATCTAAATTTAAAGCACACCATCATACAGAATTCCCGCTGCCCTGTTCCTCTCGCCGACCCCCTGAAATCTACAGAGCCCGGAGTGCCGCACCACGTCTCAGAGAAGGCAATTCTGGATGGCTGGCCTATGGGAACACTTGGGAGCCTTGAGACAGTTTAAGATTGCATTTCATGCCCGGCACATCAAGCTGGTGACTCATTTCATTTCAGGGAGTTTCAGTCAATAAATTTTGACTCTAACTTATAAGCACATCCCACTCCACTCCAGCTGTGGCAAAAAACCACCAAAGAGTCTGAGCCTGGCTCTCAGACCGAGCATGAAGGCCTCTGTGCTGGGTCCATCCTCGCTCAGGGTTCACATGTGCCATCAGGCCTTGGGAAGCTCATCCAGCCCCAAACTCTTTTCCTCCTGCCTCACCCCGCTTCACCTCACCCCACTGGCCCATCCTGCCAAGTACTGTCTAGAGAGGACTCTAACGGCTGGTGCCTAACAAGGCAGAACAAAGGCCCGCGTGCTCACCAAGTTCCATTTGGAGTGCGCGACAATTTCAGAGCACAAATGGAAAAAGAAAAAAAAGAAGGTTTGAAATCTATAGCTGGCTTTTATCAAACCAGAACTTGTAGCTCTCGGCTGACAATCAGCCAGCAGCTAAAACCCGCAAGGGACGGTTCTTACTCGAGCTACTGGCTGGCTATTAGCCACCAGCAGCCTTCTGACCCTTTTTCCAGGGAAGTAACAGCTGGCAGCTGACAAAGGCACTGGCAGAGTGGGCAGCTTTTGCTTCTCCTGAAATGGATATAAGATTGGCAGGAAATAAGGCATTCAAAATATGATGATGATAAGCATTTTCACTTGCCTTTCTTTATCATGCTTTTGGATTCTGGCTCTGATTGCTAAAATGTATTATGTGCTAAGGAGCTTTGATGGCATTTTTTGCAAAGTACATGTCCCAGCTCTTTCCCTGTCACTAAAACCAACCCAGATAAAGGTGCTTTCTATGAGTGTTGTTTACTTAGCTGTCTTTAAAACAATTGTTAATAAACAAAGATGATAGACTAGTGGCCATGAGATTATAGGAGCTTAAGCGTGGTGCTGCTGACTAAAACACGGCTTGAGCTTACCTGAGCCTGTCGGGCAGGGCTTTCTGTAGTGTTGTAGGAGTTGAAGAGAAGTGAAATTGGGATGAAGTGAAGCAGAGATGGATTAACTAGCTGTGGGTTGGGTAAAGATCAATTTAGCCTAACTTCTCTCTTCCATGCAATGCCCAGCCCTCCATTTTTCTGTCAGAAAGGGCAGAGGTGGTGGGGATACAGCAGGAAGCCCCAGCTGGTGAGCAAGTGAGTGTGAGATGGGATAACCCTCCTCGGAGAGAGGAAGGACATGGTGTGAGGACCCCACACCTCAGCCACTTTGGTTCTAGCTGCTTTGCTGCTTCCTCTCTCATTGCAGGGCACAGCACTGTGGGGTTGTAGCCAATACACTGTTTGCAACATTGCTGTTTTTATTCTGGTAGTAATATTACAATCTGCTATTGTAATGGTTGATCTATATCAAAAGTTTTCATTAAAATGTAGATGTTTGAGGTAATGTCCAAAGAGCCCCAGAAAGATGAGGATAAAAATCCTGGGTTCTGAACCCAAGTGGCCAACAGGGTAGAGAAATATCTAGAAGGTCAAAAGGACTAGACTAGATGGAAGAAGTATGTTTCCATTACAGGCTTAAATGACACACATATATATACATTTTGATTTAGTAACCAGAGAATTTTCAGAACACTGTATTCTGTTTCTTATGTTCTTGCCCAAGAACGAGTCAACTTTGAGAGGAGGGCTTACCTTTCAAGATGGTGGACTGAGCACATGAGTTTCTATCTGCTCTCTCCCAAGGACCCATTAAAATGCTAATGAAGGAATATGAAAAAGGTATAACCGCACAACATGAAGAGAATTGAGGATCAGGAATCAGTGGACTGTGGGAGAAGGAAGGTAAGTGCAAAGACAGTTGATTTTCTAAATAAGTTCTCTGTACCATTTTTCTTCTAAATCATGTAGATACATTACTTTGATAAAAAAGACTTTTATTTTTAAGTTGGAAGGAACCTTTGTCATCTTGTTCCTACTCTGGTCTTTAATCAAAACCACACTTTCACCATCCTAAAGACGCGAGCTTCCGTACTATTTTAACAACCCCCAGAGAAAGGCAACACCAGCCTCTTCTTAACTGAGCCATTTCATTGTCTGACAATCCTCATGGTTTTGATTCACGTTTTCCTTGCAGCCCGAAGGTGATAAGGTCCTGTCTGAAGGAGCTAATGCACACCCAGGGAGCAGCCCAGCTCTGGTCAATGAAATAAAATGTCCAGAGCTGTCCTCTTTATGTTTTATATGGCAACACACTTTTATGTGTGATTAAGAAACAAAACAACAAAGGGAGGAATGTACTGAGCTTATCAAAGTACAATAGTTGCTGCTTCACCAGAAAAACTAGTGCTTTCATTCTATTTCTGGCGCTGTTAGGCTGACCCTGGGGAACCAAAGACGCTTTGCTCTCAAATAAAGATTAACACTTAACAGCTGTAGTCAGCTCATGGCAAAACTGTGAAATAGGCAAAATTTGTCATTAGGACTTTTCCTTCATCCCTTGCTGGGTATTTCTTCTTACTGATCCCTCTCTCAGCTCCAAGGCACTTATTGCTCTCTGGGTGCCAGGAAAACAAAACAAACCATTTCACACTAAAATATCATTGACTTCTTGTGAATTTTACCCCAAGGGATCCAATCAAGAGAGAGAAACTACATGGTAATTGAGATAGGGAAAGTACGATATAATATAGGAATTATTAACTATAACAGGGGATTAAAGTAACAAAGAGTTAGTAAGAAGTCAAGAGAACTCTGAAGACTATAGGAATGGCAGATAAGGAGCCACAACTACCCTTAGGGCTGAGATAGGGTATCCAAGGAAGAGGTCTCCTGGGTTCAGATCCAGATCTCATTGAAGAGTGCACAGCTTTGGCTCACTGGATGGCAGAGAAGATGCTGCATTGGTGGAACTTGCTGGAAAGCTGCCCTCTAGGGTGTCAGGGAAAGTTGATTACAGGGAGCTATCTCACCAGAAATACTCTGCTGCAAAACCACCTGAGGTGGGGGAGGGCCGGGGAATCTGCTGGCCACTGGGTGCTGCTGGTCACTGTGCATTATAGGAGCTGGGCGCTGGAGAAGCTGCTGGCGCTACAGAGCCTGGTAAGCTACAAGAGTCTGCCAAGCAAGCATAAGGGAACTAGGACAGAAAACCCCTTCCCTTGCAGTGTCTCTCTCCAGCATCCTCTATTGACAAGGCTTAACATTGTGCCAGCTGCAAAGGAAAAATATTTAAAGGGTACAGGTCCATTTTTGAAGAACAGGCAATTAAGGGTGAATTTGGACTTGAGAGGCAATACATTGATAACTGGGACACTTTTTAAAAGAGAAAGAAAAGATCAAGACAATGTTGAACCCAATGGATTTACCTAATGGTAAAGTTCCTGAGCAGTCAGACTAGAGAAAGTATTTTGGAGCAGGAGAGCTTTCTAACGGTCCAGAAATCACACTACGTGTGTGACGTAAATGTATATGAGGGTGGAACGGGATTATTAGATGTTGCTTCTAGGTAGGACAGGGGTGCCGTTAGGCTCTGAACTCCTGGTTCAGGTTCACCGCCACTGGTTCAGGTTCAGCTGGCTCTGACAGCTGGATTCCCACCAATTCCATTTCTTCTTTCAAGCACGTGAGGAGACAACATTCCCCAGACTCTTTGCTTCTAGATGAAGTATGCAACATGTTCTGGTTGATGAAATGTGAGAAGAAGTAATAAATGCCACTTCCAGATCCTGCCTCTAAAATGTCCCATTAGACCATCAGTTCATTGTCCCTTCACTGACGGCCAGATGAAGGCAGAGGATCCAGTAGAGGGCTTCAAAGGAGCTCTAGGGGATGGTGGTGCCATAAGATGGAAAGAGCCTGAGCCACAGCTCAGAGGAGAGACATGCAGGAGAGCTGCTCAACTCACATTAGACTAGAATGTGACTAAATAGTGTCAAGCCTCTGAGATTTCTGGGATTTTTGTTACCGCAACCAGTGTTAATTTCCATGACTGATACACTGAGCAAATTAAGACCCTAGGATAGCCTCAGTCTTAAACTTAAATAGCAGAGAGATAGTACCCATCATTTCTTTTGTTTGAGCTTGTCAAAACAAGGAAGTTAGATCCTATATTCTCTTCAGTTCTATGTCTCATAAGTGTGGGATATCAGAGACCCAAAATTTTCCATGGCCCACCATGGAGGGCAAAGCATGGCGGCTAGGTTTCCCTACTGAACAGAACAAAGACTCCCTCAAGGTGAGCATAGGGGTGCATTCTTCTCTAACTTCTGGGAGTTTGGTACAAATAGGCTTGACATGGAGGCCCATACTTTGCCTCAGTGCACAAGGGAACTTATCTGGTGCAAGAAGGGAGCTGTTTCCCACCATAGCTCAGCCTTGGCCCCACCAGGTAGCTCTACTCCTGGCCCTCACCGGGTGTGCCTGGAAGAGCCCCGAGATCGGGGCTCCACTCTTCTCTCCATTATTCACTGAAGAGCAGAGGCAGATTTGGGTGCCTCTACAAATATTTAGAAAATGCTTTGTCTTCCATATTTAAATATATAGATATATCTTAAATATGTATGTGTACTTTTTTCCCTTCATTTTTTCTTTTCATTTTTTTCCTTTTAATATGGACAGGCTCTTTTCGGGTGTGTATCAGTAAAAAAGGAAGGATATTGCACATGGCTTTTCTGCCATCCACAAAAGCAAGTGAGAAATACTTCTGTGGCCTCTTCTATTTTACAGCTGTCAGGCTTTAAAGCCAATGAGGAGACACTTCTACCACCTCAGCCTGGGAGAGGCTTCACCCCAGACCTCTGTGATTCCAGGACCTCCAGAGAACTGCTCTGACCCTTGGGTGGTGTCTTTATGTGACGCCAGCAGGGTTAGCAAAGTCTCCTGAAGGTCTGCCTCCTGAGATCTGACACCTCGTGGGTAAATCATTTTTAAGAGCGCATGGCACTGTATAAAGTTTATGTAGGATGGACATAAATTTGGATCTGGAAAGAGCCCAGTTTCCTGTGGTGACAGGCAGCTAGGCTGGTGTGCTTTAACACTCGGTCACCCCCTTTACTGGACTGCATTCTATCAGCTGGAGGCCTTAGGAGAATAACAGACGACAAAATGAAGGTCTGCGGAGGGAGAGAGAGACGTCAGACACTGGCACACGGCACCGCCCCCCAATCCAAACTCAGAACAGCTTTTAATACTGCGAGGTTTGCTTGGTGCAGGAAACCTATTACACTGAAGGCGCCTCCCTCTAACCCCAGACCGACACCTTTCTGGAGGTTAGGATGATGGACTTCAGACAAACCAAAGAATTAGAAAGACAGACGTGGGGGAGTGTGGGTGACAGTTTTATTCTCTGAGACATGGTTACATGGTTCTACTTTAGAATTCTGATTTGGGACAAAGGATCGCCAAAAGAACTCACTGAACCAAACATGTTTAGGGGCTTTTTACACTGAAATCCAGATCAGCCCCCCAGATTTGCTGCCGGATCCACATTTTCAGCTCTGTCTTTGGTTCAGTAGGGTTGCACAGGTTGACCTTTGTGAACGTGAGGGATCCTGGTCTACAGAGTTGAGGGCTGTTCACACACCTAAGCCCCAAACCACATTAGCCCTGGAAGACATGCTTATGGCAACTGCTAGGCTGCCCAAGACGTTACAAATCATTGCTCTCCAAAAAAGGTGGATGTTGGGTTTGGAAGTGTGAAGGGGAGGCCAAGGAGGTGGTGGGGTGGACGTTGGAGGAAGGGAGGGTCATCTTCAAAAATGTGAAGTGGCACATCGGGGTGAGACCTGGAACACCCCCAAATGCCAGTGCCTTAGAGGCAGCTTTGCAGGTTTGGAACTGGGTGGGGCCAGGGAGGACGCCAAGTGGCATTGGGAGCCACGAACTCTGCTCTGGTGAAGACCTGGGACACTAATGCTGAAGTGGCTCCTTCAATCCCAAGAAAGGGGAGGTGGAGAAGAGAGGAGGCGAAGAGCTTCAAGGCATGCTCTGTGACTGAGGAAGTTTCCCACATGAACTGACCCGCGCTAGAGGCAGCGGCACAGTGCAGAGACTATGAGTGTGGATTCCGGCACGGGGCAGTTGGCACTCAGTTCCTGGCTTCCCCACTGATTGGCTGTGTGACCTCGAGCAAGTCCCTTAGCCACCTTGTTTTCTAGTTCTCTCAATTATAGAGGATAATAAACTTACTACGTGTGAACTGTTTAGAACAGAACATGACACTTCAGGGGTTAATTTAGGAGGAGGCGTCATCTAAGTACCTGTAGGGGAAGAAAAAGATGGAAGTCCCTCTCCTCCCCTGCTCAAGGCCACCTTATGCTTCACCACCGTGGAAACTCTATTGGCAGACCAGAGGGCCAGGCACATACAAATCAATGCAGAATTAAGACTTCCCTGGGTTCCTCCCTTGTGTTCAGGCAGCATGGAGTGGTGGAAAGACCCCTGGGCGGGCAGTCAGTGGACCTGGTTTTCCATCACAGCCCTGTCACAGGAGTCATAGGCCATGTACCCAATCTTCCTGGCTTTCATTTATTTACAGATTCCTACAGCAGCTGAATGGGGCCTTGAAGTTAATCTAGTCCATGTTCGTAATGTCGACAACGGCTACCTTCAGCATTTATTGAGAGCTTCCTGTGTCAGACACCATGCTTAGTGTTTATGTGAATTAGCTCAGAATTACCTTCTTTTTTTTTTTTTTTAAGATTTTATTTATTTTATTTTTTGCCCCCAAAGCCCCAGTAGATAGTTGTATGTCACAGCTGCACACGCTTCTAGTTGCTGTATGTGGGACTCGGCCCCAGGATGGACAGAGAAGTGGTGCCTTGATGCGCACCCGGGATCCGAACCCAGGCCGCCAGCATCGCAGCGTGCGCACTTAACCACCAAGCCACAGGGCCGGCCCCAGAATTACCTTCTGATATGAGGTAGTTACTACTTTTACACCCATTTTACAGATGGGGAAACTGAGGAAGAGAGCAGTTAAATGACATTTCATATATATTACCTCATTATCAAATTAATATACATGAGGTAGTTATTATCTCTATTTACAGATGAAAAACTGAGGCTCAGAGAAGTGAAATATTCCACCTGTCCCCCAAAGAGTGAGTAGACTTAAATTTAAGTCCTTATAAAGTCTCTTGTAATATGAGTAGTCCTTCTCAATTATTTTATTCTTTATTGAGGAATAACTTACATTCAGTAATGTGCACTAGTCTTAAGTGTACAGTTCAGTGGATTTTTATTTACATATACACCAATGTAACCACCAACCTGATCAAGATTTAGAATATTTCTTTCTCTCCAGAAGGTTCCTCTACACCCTCTCCTGGTTAATATCCCCCAACCCCATGATAGTCACTAGGCTAACTTCTATCACCATTGATTAGTTCTGTTTGTTTCTGAACTTCATATAAATGGAATCATACAGAAAATACTCTTTTGTGTCTGTTTTCTTCCTCACTACATACTAATTTTGAGATTTTGTCCATGTTATGGTGTGTATCAATAGTTCGTTCTTTTT